CTGGACCAACCCAGTTTTGTAGCAACATTTTACGCTTTCGAAGGTGCAAAATGCATACCGAATATGGCTACGCTGGCATTCAAGTTATCCAGAAATGCTTGCAACTTACCTGGATCTTCACTTAGTAGCACAATGTCGTCTGTGTACTCTAGATCGGACAGCCTGTCAATTGGGAGTAAATCGATGCCACTATCCTCACAAGAGGATAGTGCTGTTTCCATAATCAGATCTATATCAAAGTTAAATAGAAATGGAGAGATAGGGTAACCCTGACGAACTCCAATTTCCGTGGTGAACTCGAGCAAAAAAGTGCCGTAAACCCGGACTCGACTTCGGCTATTAGTATAAAGCGATCATAATATTGAAATTAACTTCTCGGGCACACCTTTCAGAAAAAGGCAGCGCCAGAGTTTTTAGAGCGGTCGACTGAATCGAAATCCGCTTTCAGATCGAGGTAGACAGAAGAATGCCGGTGCTCCTGAATTTGGCGCAGAGTGAAGATGTGGTCGATACAACCTCGACCGGGTCCAAAACCAGCCTGATTCTCACGTGTGCACCGTTCGCGTGCGGCAGACAATCGGCGGAGTATGATGCCAGCGAGAAGTTTAGAGACGACGTTGAATAAACTAATTCCTCTATGGTTTTCACAAGAGGATCTATCACCTTTCTTGTAAATCGGTAGGATCACCAACTCACACCATTCAGCTGGAACCTCTTCCCTTTCCCATGTTGAACCCAGGAGTTTTGTCAACTCCAAGACTAAGCTGAGCCTCCTTAAACGCTGATGGGAACAGCCCAGAAACCAGAGGCCTTATGTCTTTTGAGATAACTTATTTCCCGAGATACCTCCATTTCAGATGGAGGACTAGCATCAACTGGGAGTATTGTCCAGTCGAGGCGGAGAGTGAAAGATAGGATGTCGATGGGGACCAGCTGAACTGAGCCTTGAAGTGTTCCGCCCAACGGTCAGGACGGCGTTGCTGATCTTGAATCAGTGTGCGACTGCATTCCTTAATTACCTCACTTACGCTTATTTTCCTAGGACCCGTATTCCTAATTAGATGGAAAAGGTTACGACTATCACCAATAGCCGCAGCTTTCTCCATCTCTTTACACTTTTCTACCCACCACTTCTCGCGGTCATTCCTCAGACTCTTGCTGAGCTGGCGTTTAAGGGATTTGCGCGCTGTGTCGTATGTGGCATCCGGAGGAAGGGTTCTGCGGGCTTCCAGCAGGGCAACCGAAGTCGCGGAGATCCATCGTTTTTTATTTGATCA